GGGCTCCCCAAAACACAGAGGGGCAGGAGGGACCCCAAAATCACCCCCGGGGCAGCATTTTGGGGTCCCCAAAACGCAGAGGGGAATGAGGCACTGGGGTGTCCCGGGCTGGGGGTGCATCAGCAGGTCCCGGTGCCCAGCACCCCCCAGAGGTGCCAGCAGGCCCAGGGCAGCCCCAAGGCAGTGCCAGCCAGGAGGAGGGAGCAGGAATTCACAAACAACCCCCCCAAAACCTTCTGCAACAGCGGGACCCCCACATACGACCGGTGCCCCCTTCATGGGCAGCACCATCCCAACCCCACCACACACAACCCTGCCCGTGCCAGGCTGCCAGGGGAACCCAGAGGGCACCAGGGCCGCAGCACAGGGCCAGCTTCCTCTAATCAAATCCATTTAAATCATCCCGACCTGCTGGCGGGGAATAATCCAGGCAGGAAGAACAAAACCAGCTGCGGGAGAGTCTGGTCGGCTCCTGCCGCTGGAGGGGACGAGGGGGGCGGGGGGAGAGGGGGGGGGGGAGGTGGAAGGGGGGTCCCGGGGGGGGGGTTGGACCCGGCAGAGGAAGTGGGAAGCTGGAATGAGGGTCCCCGGGGGGGTTGGAGCCCAGCAGAGGGAGGTGGGAGCCGGGATGAGGGTCCCCGGGGGGGTTTGGAGCCCGGAAAAGAAGGTGTGGAGTCGAGATGAGGGTCCCGGGGGGGTTTGGACCCGGCAGAAGAAGGTGGGGAGGTGGGATGAGGGTCCCCGGGGGGGTTTTGGAGCAGAGGAAGTTGAGGAGCTGGGATGAGGGTCCTTGGGGGGTTTGCACCCGGCAGAGGAAGGCTGGGAGGTGGGATGAGGGTCCCAGGGCGTTTGGAGCCTGGTAGAGGAGGGTGGGGAGCTGGGATGAGGGTCCCCGGAGTGGTTTGGACCCGGCAGAGGAAGGTGGGGAGGTGGGATGAGGGTCCCCAGGGGGGGTTGGAGCAGAGGAAGGTGTGGAGCCGGGAGGAGGGTCCCCCAGGGGTTTTTTTTGGAGCAGAGGGAAGTGGGGAGCCGGGATGAGGGTCCCCAGGGGGGTTTGGACCCAGCAGAGGAAGGTGGGAACCGGGATGAGGGTCCCCGGGGGATTTCGGCGCACGGAAGAGCCCCGGGAAGAGCCCCGGGGTCGGGGGCTGTGGCTGGAACCGGTCCCGCTCCCGGTCCCGCCGGAGGGGATCCAACATTCCCCTTCCCCCGGGGCTGCGACCCCATTTAAACAACAACGAGCCTCCATTTAACAACCCAACCTCTGATGGCTGACAGGAGGGACCCGCTCGGAGCCGCGGGATTCCGGGCAGGGCATTAAAATCGCCGGAATCCACGAGACACCCGGAGTGGGACCCGAGCGGGACATCCCCGGGTTGGGGACACGGACGGGGACCCCCGAGCGGCGCAGACACACAACAACCCACGGCGGAACGGGCAGAAATGGATGAGGCAGCCCCCCAAGAGCCGGCGCTGCCTCTCGTCCGCAGCTGGACAGGGAGAGGCAGCCCCGGGGACAAAGGCTCCATTGTGCTCCGAGCCCGGGCAGGACCAACCTCTGCGGCAGGGCACAGCCTGTGCCACCGCCGGGACCCGCTTCCCAAGGGATCCAGGGGCTCCCTGGGCTCCCTGCCAGCTCATCCAGCCAGCCATCCAGCCAGCCAGCCACGCTCTGCCTGCTTTTCCACCCGTGCCTTTCCCCCGCGGCACCTCCACAGCCCCGCTCTGCAGAGCCCAAACCATCCCCGGGCAGCTCTGCCCGTGTGGGGACACCCCCGTGAGGCCACAGCACGGAGCAGCAGCAAATCCAAACCTCCCAAACCTCCCAAAGCCGGAGCAGCAGCAAACCTAAACCTCCCAAACCTCCCAAACCTCCTAAACCTGGAGCAGCAGCAAATCCAAACCTCCCGAACCCAAACCTCCCAAACCCGGAGCAGCAGCAAATCCCAAACCTCCCAAACCCAGAACAGCAGCAAAACCCAAACCTCCCAAACCCGGAGCAGCAGCAAAACCTGAACCTCCCAAACCCGGAGCAGCAGCAAAACCTAAACCTCCCAAACCCGGAACAGCACCAAAATCCAAACCTCCCAAACCTGGAGCAGAGGTTTGGGTTTGCTGCTGCTCTGGGTTTGGGAGGTTTGGGTTTGGGAGGTTTGGGTTTGCTGCTCCCAAACCCGGAGCAGCAGCAAATCCAAACCTCCCGAACCCAAACCTTCCAAACCCAAACCTCCCAAACCCAAACCTCCCAAACCCAAACCTCCCAAACCCAAACCTCCCAAACCCGGAGCAGCAGCAAAACCCAAACCTCCCAAATCCAGAACAGCAGCAAACCTAAACCTCCCAAACCTGGAGCAGCAGCAGCAAAACCCAAACCTCCCAAACCTCCCAAACCTGGAGCAGCAGCAAAACCCAAACCTCCCAAACCCAAACCTCCTAAACCTGGAGCAGCAGCAAAATCCAAACCTCCCAAACCCGGAGCAGCAGCAGCAAAAACCAAACCTCCCAAACCTGGAGCAGAGGTTTGGGTTTGTTGCTGCTCTGGGTTTGGGAGGTTTGGGTTTGCTGCTCCCAAACCTGGAGCAGCAGCAAAACCCAAACCTCCCAAACCCAAACCTCCCAAACCCAAACCTCCCAA